GAAAGTTCTTAGTTGTAACTTTGTTGTAGATAGAGACTACACATAAGTTAAGTTGCAGTACTTTTATGCTCATATTAAAAACATAATTTAGGCTATATAAGGGTGTCATTTCCTTAGTAGAATGGCATTCATCAATGGAACATTTTTTTCCTTTGTCCCTCAACCCCATGTTCTGTAAAACAAATCTGGATACTGTGTAGAACCAACAAGAAGTTTTGTTGCACATGAGTTAGGAACTTGGTACTTGCATAATTTGGCAGGCAACTCTTAAATAGTTCCTAAATAGCACATTGAATGCTATGAGTGAAAATGGCTCTGTCTTTATGGACATTACACAATATTAATATAGAGAACTTAATTTGTCCATTCATTTGCTAATTTCATTTTTTAATATGTAATTTTCTATCTAGTAAGACTGATAAACAAATATGTAACCTAAATATTCCATATTTTGTACCATGTTGGGATTTAGTTATGGGATGTTTTACTTACTGTACTTAGTACAATATACTACTGTTTCAATTATATTCCTTTCAATTATATTCATGCAAATTATACCAAGTTTGCCTAAGTTTCTTTTATAGCTATTAATTGTTCCAAAATTTTACTTCATCAGGGCTTTCACTACTTTTATGAAATACTTAATAATATAGTTATGATTCCTCTTCTTTCTTCAAACTAGAGTATGCACCACCACTATGACAGATTAAGAGCTATAACTGAACTATTGTTTAATTTTTATGTCAAATCAGACAAACATAGGGTAAGCCAATAAAGGTCTTATTTAAATGCTGTAATAAAACAATAAAACCGATAATTACCTAGGAAAATCACAAATGTCAGAAAACAAATTGCTATATGTTGAAACAGACCATCAACATACGTAGTGTAGTTGTGATCTACAATCAAGAATTAAATTTAGGATTTAATAAATAGCCAATAATTTGTGGATCATAACATCCTATGGGTTTTTGATGTTCACATAAAATCCTGTGAGATTTCAGTGTTCTCCCATAAAATCTCCTGAGATTATAACAGCTTACTATAACATTTCAAAAACAAAATTACCAAAACCCCATGAGTTTCAGTGGTCTGGGAAGACACCTGCTATGTTTTAATTTATTAATCAGTTTCATTTTATAGTGCCTAGTTTTGTATCAGTAGCTCTTCAAGAAATGCCCATGATCTCTGCTGAAAACGCTTCAGGTTGAACCATATATTCTTTTTATGCAAAATAGTGTATTGCTGTATAAAAGGCTAGCCCTACATACAATATTTTAATAATTTAATTTTAATAAACTAGGACCTTTTAACTTTAATTTTTATAGATATAGGACAATTAAATATTCCATTCATTAGATCTTACCTATAAAGAAAAATTTGTGCTGCATTATCTTTCCATAGGATTTCTACTTTAATAGAATACTCTAATACTGAAATGTGGTCCCAAGTATCCAATTCAGATTGAAAGGTTGTTACATTACATATCTTTTTTTCTATGTATATGAAGCTCCTATATGTTGGATTCCACCTCTACCCATGACAGAAGTATGCGTATGATATATCTCATCATTGTAGCCTTTAAGTCTTCAAATGCTACCATCCTCTTGACCCAAATATATAAACCCCCTCCACACATACAGAATAGTGACTGTATTCATTTCATGGATAAAATCAAAAGAGAGAGATTTGCATAAAGAATGGGATACATTGACATTAAGCTAAACTGGAAGTTTGGAAGTGAAAAAAAAATCTCCAATCCATATTTATTGTAACAAAAATGTTTTATATGCCAGGATGATAGAATTCAATACAAACTTGATAAAATAAGGAGTCTTAAGAAATGTATTCATATAGGCAAGTCCTTTCATTTTAAAAGAATTCTAGTTCGTAATGAAACTATTATTAGCGTAGTTAACATCTGTTTTGTATGATGTCAACTTCTATATCTAATTTAATGTTGTTTACTTTGTACCTTTAAATACTGACTACACAAATTGACTACTTAGAGAAAGCTATGTTTGTTGGGAAGTAGAGATATAATTTATCTTAAAATAATTATGTGTTCTATGATCCAATGTCCTATGTGAATTTCCTATATTTAGACAGAGAAGTCAATTCTTTGTAAAAAAAGAAAGTTCAGATAGAGTTCACCCTCAATTACAAAGAATAAGAAAACTAATTTTACCAAATGTTTGTGCATCAGTAAGACTATAGAGATTCACAGATATCATTGGTTAAGACTCAACACTACAAATCAGTTTAATCGCATTGGTTTTCATAATAATTAAGAATATTGTTTTTCAGAGCAATGCTAGAAATGATTATTCAGAAAAAAAATCTATAATAGGACTTAATTCTTTGGCCGAACCAAAGTTATTTTCATCCACCCTGACTTATTTTCATCTACCCTAAGTTATTTTCATCTACCATGCTCAGTCAATTGAAATAAATTATAATATATTAATAGATAAAACTTTACATCTGGGTATGGAAAATTCAAATTCTAGTTAAGAGGTCTCAAACTGGAGTTCTTTCAAGGATTTTTATACAAACATACCTTAGATTCCCTCTAAATCTCTTTGAAGGAATAATGAATTAATGCAAGAAGTACAATTACTGTGTCTGTCTGTCTGTCTGTCTGTCTGTCTGTCTGTCTGTATTAATGGCCCTTTTGTGGATTTGTATAATCCCTTGGATTAAGTAAATTGCAAAAGTAGGAAACCTCACTACATGTCCTCAATTGCAAGGTTTTACAAACAACTAATGGCATAGAAATGACTTTTTCATGTCACAATAGAAATGGCTTTCTCATTTCACAATCTTATACTGCCACTTTCTGCATATAAAAATTGTAACATATGCAAGGAAATTAGATAGACTATCACCATTTGATCAGCTCTCTATATCCAGCTTTTATATCTATGTTGGAGAACACAAGGAAAGCTCTCTGTCCCAGTAGTTCTAATATTCCTTAGCATTTTTCTATATCTTTTTACAAAAATCTAATTTTCTTAAATATATACTTTTGATCATATATAAGGAAAATTCTACTCCCAAGGAGTGTGTGTGTGTGTGTGTGTGTGTGTGTGACATTTCTAGAAGATGTGAACTTGTGTTTGTAAATAATTTTATATTTCTACCTCACTGTAGTATCAGCCATCCTTTGTAATGACAATAACATAGTAAAATATTTTAATATTTGAACTACTTTGGGCAATATATAAAATATAATGGAAACATATCTGTTATATGCACTTGTATTGAGTAGTTGTAGGCATTTCTTAACATAAAATGTTTACCTTTTTGCCCTTATAATTAAGAAAAATATAAAGAGAGAACTGTAGAAAGAATAGAAAGAAGAAATAACTTATATATACATTATATTTAAAAAAATTAAAAAGCAAATACTAATTTATTGCAGAGTTTTCCTGTTAGTTTGGCTCAGAAGTGAATCTGATTGCCTGAGTAAACTAACTTCCAACTAAGCGCACATAGGATCTGGGCCAAAGTGGTTTGGGGTGGTGGTGGAATGCAATAAGCATTTTTAGCACAAAATAAAATTAACTGGTAACTGACTCTGCTTTCCTTTTTTTATCATAATAATGTGTAAAAAAAACTATTCAGAAAAGGAATATATTGCCTTCAGATTGATATTGTTGTCAAAGACATTTATCTATCCTGAATTTATGTAGAATTAAAAGCAATATTCCCTTTACCATCTCTTTGATAGAAATTATTTCCTAACTATCAATAAAAAGTATTAGCCTCAGAATTCTGGTTAATATTAAATTTCAAATGAAAATGTTAAACATTGCCTGTTTTACTGCATATCCAGGTTCTACATGTAGACACAGAATATACATTAAATCTCTTTTCATAAATAAGCCAAGTAAAAACTAAAATTGCACTTATACAAATAGATATTAGACAATCACCATGGCAAACCTTCTAAAGCAAGTAGGAATTTAAGTGCACAGTTTGTTCCTAAAATACTACAACATACTGTCAAGTTAATTTAAACCATCTCTAATGTTTTGGAATTACCCAGGCAAAAAGAGCAGTGAAAGCCATTGGAAATGGGCACATTTTACAGTATACCAAAATTAAATCCTAGTCCCTATTTTGCTGTTATTCTGTTCTGCTAAACTTGAAGTATATAAGGCTATAGAAATAATTAAGAGCATGGAAATGATGGGAAAGCAGCCGGGGTATTTTTCTGGAGACTGGGCAAAATTACTAGGATTTTTTTCTTTGACTGAGATCAGACTAGAACAGGAAACATTTTGGTACGCTTTCATGATACACAGCTATTATTAACCAATTCCAGGGTTGGCATTGCTATCCATAAACTACCTTTAATATTTCATTAGAGAAGCAAACATACAATTTGGTGCTGATCCATAGTTATGTAAGTTTTTTTTTATATCACTAAAGCTAGCATCTTATATGTTTCAGAAAACTCAGAGCAATGTTGTACTCAACAGATCTGACTTCTGATCTGCTCATAGTTCAAAAATATACCATCAAGGAACATCCAAGAATTCAGTCTATCTAAAAGTTAGTAGCTGCAAACAACTCTTAAGAATTGTCATTTCGCCCCCCCCCCCCCTTTGATTGTTTTACTTCAGTGACTGAATCAGAGCTGAGCATACAAAAGTCAAGATAAAGAAATTGAAGTATTATTAGCATTTTTACTCCAAATGTGCTCTACTTTTCTACTGGCAAAGCAAATCGCTACAGCTTGCACATAGTTATGACACTTTAAATTCCCTGATTTCACTGAACTTCAAGCTGCCAAAGAGCAGGATGGCAGCCAAACTCTTTAACAAGCTGAACAGCTTTTGATCAAAGAATTCCACCTGCGTTTCCAGAGTAGAAAGTTTATCATCACCGCTAAACAGTGCCTGTACTTAAGCATTTTTTAAAATTCCAATCCTACTGATGTTAAAAAAAAAAAAAAAAGAATTGAAGGAGAGACCAAGTTAAAAAGCCCTTACCTCATTTAGCTGCTGATTCTGTTGAGGAAATCCTTTAGTTAGAGAAAAAAGTAAAAAGAGTGGCCAAGGTATGTCAGCTATTAAATAAACATAGGTGGCAGGCTATCACTTCACTCGTAGCAGTGAAGATAAATGGATGTGTTATTAATTTTAAAACATCTTTTAGAATGCTTACCTGTCCAATTGTGGAATCCCTTAGGTCACTTCCTGTTATTCTGATTGGATCTTCTAAAATTAAACTTTAAAAAAAAAACAGTGCTTGCAAATATTTGCATACAGCCAGCCAACTCACACCTTCACGCACAAACAAAACAAGTCTAACCAGGTTACATTTGTGTCCTGAGAACAAAAGAGAGTCTTTTTAATGATGAGACATTAGTTTCCCTGTGAGAGTGTTTGTGTGTTGTTTGTGCGTGTGTGCATGTGTGCGCCTGTGCTTTTCTTTAAAAGACCAATCCATCCCCACTCCCAACCACCCCCACAAGACAGGTTATTTCAGGGAATTGATGCATTTAATTGGAAGAAAGGAAATTATGCTCCAGAAACGTATTTGTAAGTTCAAATCATTTGAAATCAACAGAACAGGGAAAAAGTTCAACCACAAAGCAAACTGTATGCAACAAATTTTCGCCGGCAGCATGTTCAAGCAAATGTTCCTGCCCAGTATTCATTTACCCACAGTAAGTCAGTGTAAGACTGTTTGTGTCTAAAACTTTCCTTTCCACATATTATTCCTTCACAGGCACACAAAACAATACAAAAACTTGGCACAAACTGAAAGCAGCATACCTGCCTAAGGTGTGACCATGGATGTGGCAATCTGTATCAAAGGGGACAACTAGAAGGTACTTGCTTCATTTGATTCAATATCGAGGGTGCCTTTAATATTCTAGGAATAAATAAGTGCTTTTTATTTGGGATAATTTCAAGCCAATTTGTGCAGACGGGTTAAAAAAAACCTTGAGGTTTGTTGAATTATGGCCATAACATAGAGTCCAGAAGGAACTGCACATGAATTGTCCTTCAATTATGTTTACCACTCCAACTGCTTTCAACAGCATAAAGAAGAACAGATACATGATGTTGACTCTTACTTTAGCTAAACACAGGTGAGGAAAAAAAAAATCTTGTTTCTCCGTATCTAAAACACTCCTGGACCAAAAGCAAGAACATGACAATGATGTCACTTGAATAGCTGGAACAGCAATATATATAAATCAGCAAGCTGATCTATTTTTCTTTTAGGGCAGCCCTTTAAAAAGTTTATTTGATTAATTTGGTTTGACTGGCATGTTGAACCCAAATTGTTCCAACTGCTTCATCATGGAAACTTTTTAAATCCATTAATAGTAAGTCAACAATAAATGTGCCATTAACATAAATGTATTAAATAAAAAAAATCATTCTTTCTTTTCTGCTTCAACATGAACTTCAACATCAACATTAACTCCACATGTGTTTTCTCTGCAGCTCTGTCGGGTTCTATAGCAAATGGGGTGCAAAGAAGCTGAAAAGATTGTTCAAGGATCTGAAACTCCTTTAGTTTGTGTAACAAACTCTTCCTGTAATATATAAATACTAATTTTTTAAAATCTCTTTCAGTTTAGCTTCATTAACGGAATTCAAAGGTGGGACATGGACCAAACAAACATACAAACTAGAGCATACAAAACATTTGCTAGACCAATTCTCGAATACAGCTCATCAGTCTGGAACCCGCATTGCATATAGGACATTAACAGAATCGAGAGAGTCCAGAGATATTTCACGAGAAGAGTCCTCCACTCATCTACTCATAACAGAATACCTTATGCCACCAGACTTGAAATGTTAGGCTTAGACAACTTAGAACTACAACACCTTCAGTCCGACCTAAGCGTAGTACATAAAATTATCCATTTCAATGTCCTACCCGTCAATGACTACTTCAACTTCAACCACAACAATACAGGAGCATACAAACTCAAGGTAATCCACACCAAACTCAATTGCAGGAAATATGACTTCAGCAACAGAATGATCAATGCCTGGAATACTCTACCTGACTCTGTGGTTTCTTCCACTAATCTCAAACACTTTAACTTCAGACTATCTAGTGTGGACCTCACCCCATTCCTAAGAGGTCTGTAAGGGACATGCATAAGTGCATCAATGTGCCTACCGTCCCTGTCCCCTTTTATTCATATCCATTTCATGTATTCATAATCATGTTATACTTATATCTGGTAACTAATACAAGCTCAACAAAACAAACAAACAAACAAACAATTCAATGTCAGCAGAACAATCCTCACTGCTCACTAGACATTAGGTGGTGCAGAACCTGGTGAGCCCATCAGAGTTTTCTGATATCACTTCACTGGGCCCTGTAGGCAAGTAGGCATTTCTGGATTTAGGTAGATAACAGAAAATGACACGAATGATTGTCCTATAGTCCACAAACCATGAATTTGAGACTGTTGGTCTTGACAGTATGTGCAAAAACGTGACCATAATATTAACTTTGGAGCCCAGTTCGGGATCACTTGCATTCAAGTGACCTACATTCATTTCTTCCTGGTTACATATGGGATTTGCTGCACAAGAAGTCAAGTTGGTTCACAAAGACCAAGCACAATCTTTCTATCAGTCTGCACATGAAGCTGGAAACTGAATCCCATCTTGGCTACAAATCAGAAACTATGGATTTAGAAGAGAAAGTTTAAGCTAAGGAAGCAAACCTTGGCTCAATACAGACATCTAAATTAAACTATTTCCAACAACAAATTATTATCTGATCTCCATTTGTACATATGTCATAAGGAGGCCCAGAGCTTCCTCTGGATATTTGGTTGTCAACTTGCTCTTAATGTTAACAACATTTTTCTAAAACATTGGGTTGGAATCTGCCTTTCCAAGTTAAATCCAATCTGTCCTGCACTCAAACAACTAAAGATAGCTCTTGACTTTCATTTGAGTGACATCCCTTTCAGGTATTTGAATAAGATGCCATTATATTATTTCTGACTTTCTTTCTTTTTTACATCTCAATTGAGAATTCAAGTTCCTGCTTAGTGCAGAAATTTAAATTAAATCATCCTTGACAGCTGGTGTCTTGTTTCTACTAGATCAGGTCCCATGAAGGTGACTACTATTACTCTGGGTAGCTGCTTTCTTTGTCCATCGGAATCTATCTTCTGTATCTTAAATCCATTATTCCAAGTTCTGCAGTCTCAGAACACATAATGGAGTGCGACATCCTTTTAGAAATGATTGATATGAGAGCATTCTTCAATCTCCTCTTCAATCATATCCAGCTTCTTGAAACTCTCTCCGTAGAATTTGACTTCCCTTTTCTCAGGCATCCATGTTGTCCTTTTAGGAACCTGTTTGTGTTCCTCTTCCTTAAAGATAGGTTCTTCAACTAGATATACTATAGGGCTGCAATGGCGAACCTATGCCGCATGTGCCGGAAGTGGCAATGCAGTCCCTTTTCTCCGGGCATGCCAGCTGTCACCCGTTGCTCTTCTGAGTTCTGGTGCGCGCATGCACATTGGCCAGCTGGTCTTCGCGTGCATGGAAGTGCTGGAAACCACAAGAACAGTTCCCAGGAGCACATGCGTGCACCAGCCAGCTGGTCTTTGCACATGCATGCACACGAGCCAACTGATTTTTGCATGGGAGCACCAGAAACTGGAAGAGCACCTCCCCAGAGTCCATGTGTGTGCCAGCCAGCTGATCTTTGCACACCAGGGAGCACCAGAAACTGGAAAAGCAGCTCACCGGAGTGCATGTGCACACTGGCCAGCTAATCTTCGTGCGCGTATATGTGTTAGAAACCGGAAGATTAGGTGGCTGGCACACATGCATGCGCTGGGATGCTAAGCTTCTGGTTTCCGGCATATGTGTGCATGTGCGTGCAGTCCCATTTTGGCACTTGGTGACAAAAAGGTTAGTCACCTCTGCTATAGGGTGTAGCAGTACAAAGTGGAATCTGTGATTTGGAGACTGCACTTCAGTTGAATGCAGCCTAAAAATATATCTCAGTTCTAAATCAGATTCAATTTATAATCAGTACTATTCCAATTTCTTTCGCTTAAATATATTAGAATACCAGGTACCCTGCAACCTATATCTCATTTTTGAATTTTATTTTCTATGTGAATGGGAACATGGCCTCTGTTGAGTTTCATGTACATTTTTCCATGTTTCATTAATTACATTTTATGTAGCTGATACTTAACTTGCTAATCAGAATGTCATCAGGTAATTTGTCAAACACTTGGTTGAAATCTAGATATATCAAAACTGCAGCATTTCCGCAACCTATTAGGAATTTATTTTCCTTCTAATACAGACCATAATTCAGATTTGCTTCCAGACTTAACACAGCAAAAATGTTTGTGATTTCCCACTTCTTATTTTTTGATTTATTTATACAAGTAAGTCTGTTCATTTATGTCAAATGTGCCCCCAAATGGCACAGCATTATATAGCTTTCATCTAACTTTTATGCAGGTTACATGTAAGAATTACGGTTTGTAATCTCAAAAAGAAAGAAAAAAATCATAATACTCCTTTAAACATGGGACTTTCCCTGAAATAGGCACCCAAAGATTGCATGGTATATTTGGTAGCATAATATCATAATCACCCCTAATGATTATCCACATCGGTAGCCACAGCTTCTTGATCCTTGATCCTCATCTCAGAACCACCTTTTTTCATCTGAATTAATATAGTGGCCAGAATTAAGGTAATGAATACCAATCACAGGCGGCACATGTTGGCTACAGAAGTAGCCATTTCCCATTTAATGCTATAATAACAGCATAAAGCAACAACAGAAACTTCTACAATGCAGGAAGGGGAACACACTGAAGAGTCTAACAATTCTGGAACTGCCCTTGGTTACAGGAGATAAATATGAGGGAATCAAGTGAATTTCACACAGAAACTCAGAGAGAGGCAAATTTCCAAATCTCAAGTACTTCTTCATTCATACTCAGCCTTTTGACTACTCTGCTACTTCAGTTGTGACAAGGATTTGTCATTTGTGCCACAAAATCATACATCACTTTTATAAAGCATTGAAACAAAAGTAGCTATAGCATTCTTCAACTCATATATCATGATTTATTTATGTGTTTATTTATAAGATTTATATAGAAGC